ATTGTCCTCTTGAGATTTGGGGCATGAATACACATATGCCTGGCATATTTCTCAATTTGCTGATTCTGGAACTCAAACTGCCCAATCATCCATGTGGGATCCAGCCACCTTAATCACCACACCACCTGGCTGGCCCTTTTAAGGTTCTTTCTATCTCTGTTTCTCTAACATCTGTGGCCTAATATCTTAGTCTGTTATCCTGTTGCTAGACAGAAATACCTGAGACTGGGTGACTTATAGAGTAGAGGTTTATTTGACTCACAGTCCTGGTGGCTGACAAGTTTATGACATGGGATCAGCCTCTGACCAGCACCTGCTGCCTCACAACACGGGAGAAAAGCTGCATGGCCAGTGGACTTGTACAGAGTGACTGAGACCTATGGGAAGCTCTTACATTATAACAGCCTTTTCCCCTGGGAACTAACCCCTTTCCCCCAGAACCCACTCCCTCTGGACAGCACTAATCCAGGTGGTCCATCAGTGAATACACCACCCACTAGGCCTCACCTCTTAAAAGTCTCACCATCTCCCAGCACCATTATATTGGAGACTAAATTCCAAAACATGAACCTTTGGGGGACAAACCATTATCCAAGCTATAGTGTTCTGTGAGACCACAGCCTAGGCAAAGGTAGAGAGGTCAGTATTAGCTCAAGATGCCCTTAGTGGCAAGCCGTCCTGTGCTAACAGATGTTCTCCCTCTTGCAGAGGATTTCAGTCACCATGTCTGGAATGTGCTGAGGTGAAAAAGTCCAGTTTGGTCTATTCCACAGCCCGGAGCTCCCCCGTGAAAGGGTCCTCCCGCAGCTCCTCCTATGCCAGCACCCGATCTTCCAGCCACTCCTCTAGATCCCCAAATCCCAGGGCTTCCCCTAGGTACACTCGGAGCAGATCCACCTCCTCTGAAAAAAGGTGAGTGTGCAGTTGACCTTTGCAGCACTTTCCTTCTCAGGGAGTGAGTTAAGGTAACTGGAGATAGCCTTGCCCATGGAGAAAAGTCAGACTTGACTTCGAATACCTGACCTACTCCTTACTTTCTTGTGGGACTTGAGAAAGTCAGTCAGCCTCTCAAAGTCTCAGTTTCCTCATCTGCAAAATGAAAGCAATAATAATGCTTACCTAAAGGGTTGTTCTGAGGGCTATAAAGTACTTAGAGATATACTTGAACCATAATGAGTATTACTATTGCTGCTATTGGCATGAGGATGAGATAGTACATAGCAACTAGCTTCCACTGCATACAACGTTACCCCCAAATTTAGCATCATTAAAACAAGTGTTTGGTTTTTGATCCTATGAATCTGCAAGTTGGACTCGACTCAGCTGGGTGGTTCTTCTGATTTCACTGGGCTCATTCACGTGTCTGTGATCCGTTGGAAGGTTGGCAGGGAGCTGGCTGGTTTAAATGACTTCGCCTGACTCATCTTTGCTCCATGTGGTCCCACATCTTCCAGCAGGCCTGTCTGCTGGACTCATTCACATGGTGATGGCAGGGAGCAGAGAGAGAGAGAGCAGAAGTGAGCAAGGCTTTTGAGTCCTAGGCTGGGAAATAACATCATCTCTTCTGGTATTCTATTAGCCATAGCAAGTCAGAAGACCGACCAGTCCAGATGCAAGAATAATCCTCTCAGTGGGAGGAGTTGCAAAGTCACATTGCAGGGGGTGTAGATACAAGAAGAACCGTGGCTATGCTTGCGTTCTCCTACCGAACTCCAATAATCATTGGTCATTACTCACTTATCTCATGTGGAATAATAATAGCATGTACAGACATGAGATCTCAGGAACTGGAGGATTCCATCCAATCTAATCAACTCATAGTTTCATGGAGTCCGGCTTCCCTCTGCAAATGGAAATTTCCAATAGCAGACTGACTGTTCCTCATTTACAGCCGTATAATAATTTTTTTAAAAATGGCAGTTTATTTAGTTGGTTATTTCAAGACCAGTACATTCCAATAAAAGGAGGTGAGGCAGCTGACAAAAATATTTAACGTGACAGAGTGACATAATTTAAAAAAGTAAATCAGTCTCTAAGGAAAATTAAGAAGAGAATTAAACAATTAAGTCAAGAGAAAGGTTAAGTCCCTGAAGGTATATCTTATCATTATGTATAGTTGTTACAGAGGTGGTTGCAAATATGACCTCCGAGTTCCCTGGCAGATGCAGCAGAGAGGAAAATTGCTCCATTAATTGTCACATGATTAACAAAAAGAAAAAAAAGAGAGAGAGAGATTTAAACTAGTTGCTTGGAAGAATAGCTACTTCTGATTTTTAAGTCTATGAAAAATGACTCGTGGCTCCACAGAAAAGGAACACCATATGGTTCAGTGAATGGAAACGTCTGACAATCGTTTCAAAATGTTCAAAGGCATATTTCCTCTTGACTCTTCCCTATAATGTCCCTCAGCGCACAGCCTAAGAGCAAATCGGCAAAACCATCTTCCAGGGATCAGAACTGGAATGCTATCCCTGGGCACTGGGACTGGAGGACCTAATCCTCCCCCACAATGTTTTCTAAAACTAGGAGGCACTAACGAGGGAGAGGGGAAAAACTAGAAGTAGCATAGGGGTTAATAATTTGGCTGGGAGCTAGCAGGTGGCATGGTGGTTAAGGGTGTTGGACTCCCACGTGGCTGATCGCGGTTCAAGTCCCGGACCTGGAGAGTTTCTCATGTTCCCTCTCTCTCGCTGTCTCTCACTCTATCCCTCTCTGGTCAAATTAAAATAAATAAATAAATAAATAATTTTTAAAAATAATTTTAAAATAATTTGGCTGTACAGCAGATTCTACAAAAGACAAGAGTCTATGGAACCAAACAGACCTAATTCCAGTTGCTTCAGAGATGACCAGACTTGGGATATGAACCCCCTACAAGCTGTGTGGCCTAGAGCAGATTGCCTCACGTCTGGGTGCCTCTGTTTCCCCATCTATCAATGGGATCGGTAATGGTAACAAACTTCAGGATGTCTTGACATAATGTACACAAAATATTAGTTCAGTGTTTGGCACAGGATAAAGCACATAATAGTCATTGCTAACATTTTCCACGTGCTGGCTCATTGGCGCTTAACACATGTGCCGATGTGCTAAGTGACTGAATTTACAACGTTATAAGTATTATTATTACCCTCGTTTTACAGAGGAGAAAACAGAGGCTTGGAGAAACAAAATTACCTGACCGCGATCGTAGCGCTAATAAGTGCCCAGGATAGTGAGCTCTCAGTAAGAGTCGTCGGTACTATTATTAACCACCCAAAGGGGAGGGGATTTCATTCGCTCTGAAGCTCTGAAAGTCCTAGTTCCTCCTCCTGGCCTCTAGAAGGAAAAAAGTCGCCTCCTGGTAACGAGATAAATGAAACAAGCCTCTAAGACAAGCGCTCAGCAGGCTTCTCAGAGGCTGTTACCTCTCCCCCAGGTCCTACTCCCGCTCTCCCAGCTATTCCTCCAAGTCTGGCAAAAGAAGCCCGCCTAGCAGAAGCTCTCGATCCCGCCGCAGCCCCAGCTACTCCCGCTACAGCCCCAGCAGGTACCGCCCACTCACAGGCATTGGCCCCGCCCCCAAGCGGGCCACGCCCCGTCACAGGTACTGCCTATTCAAGACACTGACCCCGCCCCCGAGTAGGCCCCTCCCCTCAGGGTCGGCCCGGGTCCATGTCCGCCTTTGATCTGATCCTCCTCTCTGACCCCGCCCCTCATCCCCCCTCGAGTCTCCGAAGTGCGGCCCTTATTCTCAGTTCTAGCCCTGCCAAGGTAGGATGGGGACCTGACTCAGTATTCATGCAGTTCCCTTTGTCCAATCAGGAGTGACAATGAGGCCCTATATATATACCCTTGTGCTGCAATGTCCCCACCCCAAACACACCCACAGCCACACCCAGAATTCACAGGCCAGCCCTCAGCCTGTTCACCCACCTAACACCACCCTAGTACAACTATTCGGGGCCCCATCCTTACCTATGATCCAGGGCCCGTGAAATAGTCACGTTCTCGCCCCTGTAGTACCTGCTCCCCTGCGATGCTCACCTGTAAAGAGTGACATCCCTTACAGAAATGACATCCTAACCTCCCCTGCACGGTACTCGCCCAAGCACCCATCCCACAGCTCTGTCACCTTCCCTCCGTCTTCACTGGGACCCAGTGCGAACCCCATCTTCTGCTCCGGTGGGGGAGAGGGGACCAAGAAGGACCCCTCTTCCACACGCCCACACAGAAGCCACTCAGCCCCAGCTCCCCAATAACACCCCTCCCCGCACCCCTTCAGGGAACGGGACCCCAAATACAATGAAAAGGACTCGCAGCAACGGGAACGTGAGAGGGCGCGTCGGAGACGTCGGTCCTACTCTCCCATGAGGAAGCGCCGGAGAGACTCCCCTAGTCACCTGGAGGCCCGCAGGATAACAAGGTGAGGCCAAGAGGGCGGGGGATGCCCGCCTTCACCTTGTTCTCGTTCCCATTCTTCTTCCTACTCGTTCAGGTCTCAGAGTCTTCCCCCTGCCTCCTCGGAACTGGGATTTCAGGGTCCTGGGAGGTCAGGGACCCCCTCAAAATATGTTTCTGCCCAGATCCTCAGGCTGTCCTCTCCCCAGCCCCAACCTGCAGCACCAGAAGGAGGAGGCAGGGCTGTGTGGGCTGAGTTTGGGACTGGAGCAGGTCAAGGGCGGGGCCAGGCCAAAGCAGGAGTGACCTGAAGGGCGTGGCCACAGTCCGGGGTGGGGCTGGGGCTGGGCAGGCCAGATTGGGGAACAGAGTGGGATCAGAGCAAGGCGTGGTCCTGGAAGTGGAGGCAGAGGAAGGAGACCTTCACCCAAAGACTCACCCACTCAGATGCCACCCTAAACAGACCCGGATTTAAATTAAACCCTGAACCAAATGTGGATTGTGTCAACAGGGTTATCTAAGTGCAAAAGGGATTTTAGGGCACCACGGCGGGAAAGGGAGCATTCCCTAGATTTGGGGCTGAATCCTGGCTGTGCTAGTGTCCCCATGACCTGGGAACGTCTCTTCACCTCCCCCAAGCTTCAGTTTTCTCACTCATAAAATACTAGAGGAAATCATTCCCCGGAGTATCCTGAGGATGAAATGAAAGCGGGGAAAGGATGTGAGCATGCGCTGTACATTGAAACACAGAACGCACTGAGTGCCGCTGTCATCCACTGGTTCCAATGGGTGGAGCAGGCTTCTGGTTACAGGAGAAGCTCTAGCAGAGAGGCCTGAGGTGTGAAAGGAGATGTTTCTCTCTAAAGCTGGGAGAATAAGTAGCTGCTGTCCGGAAATTGGCTAGGACTCTCCCTCCTAGCCCTCTAAGGCATCACCACTCGGTCCAGAGACCTGTGGGGTGCAGGGATCTCAGGTGCCCGGTGTGTCCTCCTGGAGATGATCTGGAAGAAACACAGTGTATGTTGCAAACAGGAAGACCCAGACGATGCTGTCTGCTCTTCAAATATCCCAAAGAGCACCTGTCTCAGCATGGAAGTTTTGTTTTGCTACCCCTATGGCCTTGACCAGGGATGTCCTTGGAGTTGATTCGCAGAAAGGCTGAGACAAAGAGAAGCGTTTCCAAAAGGCTATCTAGTTTCCTTAGTCAAGGCCAAATAATCAATCCTTCTTTTTTTTTAAGTTTTACCAGAGGATACATGTGATCACAGAGTAAAAACAGAGAGAGATAGGGAAAATGTGAAAGTCTCCTCCATGGGGCAGGGTCATGCCACAATCCCTTCTTTTCTCTCTCTCCTTTCAGAATTTTAGGTACACATGCACACACACAAGTGCGCACACACACACACGTGCACACACGCACACACACACGCACAGTGTGTTTTTCATACTGCCAGGTCTGGGGCTCAAACCTCTTAGTTGGTTATGTGGGATCCAGCCGCTTTAAACACCATGCCACCAGCTGGCCCCAAATAACCCATCTTGATTAAGCCATTCAGCATTTCCCAAACCCAATCATCAAACAACCTCTTCACCACTCTTGCTTTGTCTGCTTATTGCTCATAACTGTTGACTTAATTTTCTTTCCTTACGCACTTTGTTCAAGACCTATACATTTATTTCAAGCAGAAACTTGATACACTACAGTAAATGGGACCCCCCAAAAATCAATTTCTCTCTCCATAAATAGAAAATCCTAGTAAAAATAAATAGCAAAACAAAACTCCAATTAAGGTTTAGATGTAGATTCCATTGCCAGCTGCAGGCTCTGAGCCCGAGGCTTGCTTTGTTAGGGGTGAGAATAAGGCTTTTCCAGACAGATCGGCCCTCAGCGGAGACTTTCAGCAAGAAAAGTGGAAAGGGAATTTTGTTTTTGTTTTTCTCCTTAAAGGCGTTGGGGAATGGAAGGCTACTGCTTTCCCTTGGGACAAGCCGGGAGCTCCCGGGTTGAAGCTCTTGCATTCTCCCTCTGTTCTCTGCAGTGCCCGGAAACGTCCCATCCCCTACTACCGGCCTAGTCCCTCTTCGTCCAGCAGCCTCAGCAGCGCCTCCTCCTGGTACAGCAGCAGCAGCAGCAGCCGCCGCTTCTCTCACGGCTGGAGCCCCAGGCCGCGCCC